AAAGTAGGAGATTTGTATTGGACGATTTCAATGATAGTTTGATGTGATGGTGGACATACTGAAAGTATTGAAATTCTAAACTTTTCTTTCCACAGTAAATCACGAATAACTTTTTAACGGCTCTAAATGAGGTTAAAGTGTCTTCGGCAAAGTTTTTGTCCATAAAATGTCCCATCTTCTGCTGCATTTGAATGATAATAGCGCTATGTTTGATAACCACTTTTGATGATTGAATGCAGTGATGTACAAAAAAAAACATCATTTTAGAGAATTTGAAAAATTGTAACTAACAAATTGGACACAGAATATGCCGTAGCAATTTTTTCTCTTATAGTTTTGACCCTTGGGAGTCTGTAAAAAATATAAAAGGGTAAGGTTTCACTGAAATTTAAAGAACTAAAAATATTTATTGGGTAATTGCTATGAAAAATGGACTTTTTCAAAAATCTCGTCGGGGCAACCTCTAAACAACATTTCCCAGAGTTGCCGCCATACAAAAGTTTGTTTGTAACACCTTTAGCCAGGCTTGCAATTGCACATTACAGCTAAAATGCTATTTTTCGTAATTATGAAACAATGAGATACTATAATGATAATTTTTATTTGTAAGATGCAAGAAGAGGTGGTAAAGTTTGTGTATGACACATAAAATTTGTCAATTTTGCTTTCAGAAGTTCACAACTAGTGATTAGCTGTAACGATGAGCAACGCGATGAGCGAGCAATCAGCGATCATAAAATCGCTAGGTGTGACCTTCTGAAAGCAAAATTGAAAAATTTTATATTTCATACACAAACTTTACCACCTCTTCTTGCATCTTACAAATAAAAATTATCATTATAGTATCTCATTGTTTCATAATTACGAAAAATAGCATTTTAGCTGTAATGAGCAATTACAAGCCTGCCTTTAGCTATCATTTGGAGGGTGAGCCCTCAGATTTCCAGACATTGTGCAATTTTGGGACACCCTAATAACCATCAGGCGTGAACCTTTGATATACAATGGAGAAAGAACAAAGATAAAGCCTAAATGTACCGTGCCGATTCAAATTTCGGACACTTAAACTCGAATTTCGGACACTTTTAAAAGTTGATTATCTCGGTCGAATATGATCCACATGTCTTGTAAATTTTAAATTTTTTTGACTAGTGCCCTCCACGATCATCTAACATTATTACTTTGTTTCTAACTGGATGTAATATTTAATTAAAAATGAAAGTGTCCGAAATTTGAATCGTCCGAAATTTGAATCGGAACGGTATGCTTCTGTGGCATGAAATCAGACGCGCGTTTTATCCCTCAGTGGAAACCGGTTTTTGTAGGCCTTTTCAATTTGACCAGTTTCAACAATAATTTATCAATTTTCGTTAAGCATATCAATTTTAATATCTAGTCAATTGCTTATTCGTACAAATAGATGGTATTGCACTTAAATATCGATTCACTTTGTGGATTAAATGGGGATCTTCCTAAGCATGGCATTTTACCCTCATCTCTCATACTCAAAAACGGTTAGAGATGCAACGCTAAAATTTTCATCAGTGGAACATAAGAAAATTTCAAATAAGAGAATAGTTATTGATAAGAAATACATCACATATTACACAAGACATACACAATACATGAAATTTCGGAAATCGAAAATTTGGTTGATGCCAAATAACTTGAAAATTCATGAAACGTCAAGATCCAGTGTTAAGTCGTAATTTAATTTTTTTTTTCAAAAATTAACTTTCTGGGACGTAATAGAAATGACTTAATGACTTAATGCATGAAACGTCGAGATCTAGTGTTAACTCGATTTTTTTTTATCAGAAATCAACTTTCATTATCGTGACCAAGCTTGCCAATGAAGTGACTTGATTGTTTTCTGCTGATATGTTTGCTGATGATGTGGTCATTAATGGTGCCTCCACTACTGTTTTTACTGATGCTGGTGTATGTTTGCTGAATTAAAGTTCTCCATTTTGTTGGTTTTCAAATCGAGTGAATACCCTCGCCATGCTAGAAGCACCAATGTTGCTTGAAAACCAAGTGAGCTGCACTCGTTCGTTATTTGATTTCCCTTGGAGACATTCTGCATAGATATGCTCCGAACTACCACATTGGGAAATCAAATTTCTGGCTAGGACTGGTGTATCATGTTTAACCTCAATACACAGTCTTCTCACAGCTATCAGATGGTCAGAATCAGCTTTACAAAATTCGACATAAGGTCTCATGATAGTCAAGCTCTAGTGGAAGGTGGAACGAATGATGGTATTTGGCACACTGTCTTATTCTGCAGCTTCCTAGATGGCAAGGGTTTCAAGATATCACACAAACACTTCTGTATACCAATCATAAGGTCTTGTTCCACTGAACAACTTCGCTCAAGACAGCAAGTTTCTAGGTGGCAAGGATTTCAAGATATAACACGAACAAAGAAATCGCAAATTCAAGCACACTAGCGCCACATAGTAAGAAAATTCCGAACTTCTGTCCACCAATCATTAGGTTTTGATCCACTGAATAACTTCGCTCAAGACAGCAACTTTCTAGGTGGCAGTCAGCCGGCGCCCAATGGGTCTGGGTTCAATCCCAGCCGAGGTCGATGGGATTTTTCTGAGGCATTAAAATCTCTGGTCACCTCTCACGGGAAGTAAAGCCGTTGGTCCCGGCCCATGTGTGTATGTGAATGCAAGGTTGCAAATACTCATTTCAGCTAAAATAATGTTTTTCGGAATAATAAAACCAAAAGATGGCATGTTTACTTGTAACTTACAAGAAAAGGGTAGGCACATTTTTGCCTGTAGACTTGGAGACATACTTCAAGTTTTCGCGTACATTGTACGGGATAGGCAAAGATGTGCGTCTATCTTTAAAAACTGTCGCATTAATGGCCCTTCGCTCATTTTCAACTTCTATTCAATTTTCATACTGCCGTACTCTAACGGAACTATCCACCTACTCTCTTCTAAAGATCATTCTCTAGATAATAAATTATCACACTAAAGCTTCATGTTAGCATTTCCAACCAACTCTGAAAATCGCTAACTTCGCGTATGAAGTAACATAAAAACACTTTGAATGTTAAAAAACATTGTTTTTGCTGAAATGAGTATTTGCAACCTTGTGTGCGATTTCCTACGCAGATGTGGAAGCTGCCTTCCTGCACATTCGGTTGCCGTCAACGGATGGCAATCGATATCCGTCGGTGATTGGCTTCTTTATTGCGGAACAGAGACCGACGTTAAATAATGGAAAAGAAGAAGAAGAAGAAGAAGAAGAAGAAGAAGAAGAAGAAGTAGAAGAAGAAGAAGAAGAAGAAGAAGAAGAAGAAGAAGAAGAAGAAGAAGAAGAAGAAGAAGAAGAAGAAGAAGAAGAAGAAGATGGTAGTGATTTCAAGATATAACACAAACAAGGAAATCATAAATTCAAGCACACTAGCGCCGCGTAGTGAGAAAACTCCGAACTTCTGTCCACCAACCATTAGGTCTTGATCCAATGAAAACTTCGCCGGAGGCAGCAACTTTGTAAAATAACGAATGGATGGCTCGAGTGACACTTGCCTTTGAGAAAAAAAAAAACACGTCTACTGAGCATTCATATTTCTAAAAATATCATCTATCAATGAACCAGTCATCGGTCGTCATTGAAAAGCAATGCAACTATGTTCTGTCAATCTAATTGAAACTTTTATTGTCTCTGTTGTCTTGTGAATTTTAGGTATAACGGCCTCTTTCTGATTTTTACCCGTCTATCTATGGAATCCACACGAAAACTATGTTAGAACAAATTTCTAGAACAGTATAAGAAAAATTATCCATTAGACTACACATTTTATATCATATGGGTGTAAAGTTCGTTGAACAAATACTATAAAATTCTTCACTTTTTAAGATATCTTCGAGTATGAAACTAAGTCAAACTTCAATAAAATCACTTTGAATAATCAACCTTTGGTCACAAAGTTGGTAGATAACACATTAAGCTTTGCTAAAAAAGTTACAGCCGTTTTCGTTGTTTCAGTCTCGAGATACAAATATTATAAGCCGTAAGTTACCTTAAAAACATAAAATTCACTTGAAGCACCTCTAAATCACCACCGATTTAGCTGAAAATTTGCACAGAAGTTCAAATTAACATGACGAACAGTAATGACGGTTGACCCGGTGCATCCCGAACATTTCTGTTAAAATGAACAGGTCTAATATATATGTATCACACATAATGGGTTTTAAGACATGACAGATTCCAGTTATTTCAGAGTTTTCTGTGCCACAGTGAAATCTAAATTTTCTAGACCGGACCGGGAATCGAACCCACCACTTCCAGCCTACTATAAACGTGTCTTAACTGTCCATGCTATCTGAGATCTTTATTTTGAATTAGTATCACATATGACGTTTAGATCCTAGATAAGTTGACTCTTCGCGATTCACATTCATTCTTACGATATTCATTCCTGCTCAATAATTTCATATACAATTTCTCGGAAACCAGGAATTTCCTACATGCACCACATAATATAAAAGCTGCAAAGTTTCACACATCACAATTAATGGAACTGTTTTCGGTGGTTGTCACTCCATCCCCTGTTTCAGTTTCAAATCGCCCACGGCATGTCAGCATCCAGACATCATCATCATGCTTCTTTAATAGACTCCAAACGCAACGGTTGATTTCCTCATCAACCCTTCGCCATTAAAACAGATTCGAATTTTCTCCTCCAGCTGACGTGTCTGACGCGTTCGTTCGATGGGTCCCGCTAGTCGTAAATGCATCGTTATCCAACCCCCAGGGTATACTTTTTACTCTCACCGGATATAAAAAAAAGTTCAATTTTAATTCACCATCCACTATTTGATAGAGGTGGTGGCGGATTTATCGAATAATGGCTTCTGGGTAGATTTTTCTCATTTGCTCTCCTAATATTCTCATTTCGTGGCGCGAGTGTAATTAATTTTTCATTGCTTTGGTTACAGTGCTTTTTTTGCGATTCTTTTCCGTTCCAGCTGTTCAACATGAACGAGGTCCACGCAAACCGAAGTTGCAACACCTGCAGCAAAACGGAGCACATCCTCATCACCTGGGAGGACACTTTTTGAACGCATCGTCCTACGGTCATGTCCCGCACTTTGCCAACCTTCATCATTCAGCTATGCAGCAAAATTCGATCCTGCATCATCCACAGCCTCTATCATTTGCCCCTTTAGGACACCATATGCCTCCTTCACTTTTACCGCCAGTGAAATTAGAGCAGAAATTCGAATTCCCTCCTACGAGCAATGGCCAACTATCCTCATCATTGTTGTCATCTGTCAAAATGGAACAAACCAAACTATCCTCATTCGACTTCTCCCCATCAAGTCAACGATTCTACAAACCATTGGAGCAGCTTCCCCCATCACCTACCAACTCAAAAAGCTCCATAAGCGTTGACTCTCCCTCAGAAAGCCTCACCAGTCCGCAACCTTCGACTGTAGACTGTGGGTCCAGTGTCCTTAGTCCAACCCCAATCAATGCCAGCAATCTTAGTCTTCCCTCCCCGCTGTCCCAAACTGGTGTCCTAGATATCATTATGAGTTCCGATAAATGCCAAGAATTTATCCAGTATCAAATGCATAACAATAACCTAATGTTTCCTGGCTTTAATTCACCGGAAGCCGGTGGAACAGTTCAACAACCACCTCCTCCTCCACCTCCGCTGATTCCACATCCAACACCCTTACCCGCCGACAGCCCTGGACTACGATTACCAACGTGGGAAATTCTACAGGTACTTTCGAGTCATCACATTCCATCATCGAGACGATGTTATCAACAATATTTGAATTACAGGAAACTACCGCTCGACTGCTCTTCATGTCTGTGAGGTGGGTCCGCTGCTTGATTCCTTTCCAAACATTGTCCAAAAGTGATCAGCATCTTTTGCTACAGGTACGCACTAATTTGAACTACGTGTTATCTAAGTCAGTGTATAAATAAGTCTCTTCCTCTATCTTACCATTAACTACAGGAATCGTGGAAGGAACTATTTCTACTGAATTTCGCACAATGGAGTGTTCCTTGGGATCTCAGTGCCCTGCTCGAGAGTCCTCAAGTACGCGATCGATTACCGCAAGATCCAGCCACGCAGATGGAGATGAAGACGATGCAGGAAATACTGTGTCGCTTTCGACAGATCTCACCGGATCTCAGCGAACTGGGATGCATGAAGGCGGTTATATTGTTTTCTCCTGGTGAGTAATTATTTAAACTGTAGGGGAAACACTCCTATAGTTACGGTACATTAGAAGCGTGAGGTTCCTATAGTTGTGCATGGAGACTCAATACACAACTATAGGAGCCTAACACTTCTAGCGTACCGCAACTATAGGAGCGTTTACTCTAGTGAAACGCATACAATTGACCCTACTATTTTACGTACACACTTAGAAATACCTAATTTAACACGTGACGGAATCCATCTTTGACATAAAGGATGAGACCTAAACAAACATGTCATGTGAAATTAAGTGCTCCGAGACTGAAAAGTTCGGTACTCGACGAAAAGTACGTTTGATTGAGCTGAATTTTGCGTCTTTAATGACTCAATTTTATGTTAAAATTGACGCTCGAATATGTCAGTCTAAGGGCACCTAAATTTACATGATATTTTAAAGAGTGTAGAGCAAAAATGTCTCTCAAAAACTCCTTCTGCTTCTTTTTTTTTTTTTTTTGTTAATTACTTTATTTGTACAGGCTCAATCGAATAAACTTTACAGAGCCAAGTTATCATTTTCCTTATACATTATAAATGTCTTAAATCTAAAATTAAAGGATTGGAACCGATTACTCGCGGTCTTCTCGAGGTTAGTGGATGACAATTGTTTGGATCGGGAGAGGGAAAAGGAGATTTGGAATATGATTTATAATTCAAAAATTTCACTATTTCTAAAACATATACTTAATCCTATTGACGTTATATCAACTCTGTAATTATACAATTATTGCAGAAACAAATCTACAAAAAAAAAATACACACACACATACAAAACACAAACTAAACACAAGGTTAATCAAACTTACAATCTATGGTTAATATTCTTCAAGAAAAAATATATGAGTTGCATAAACTCCAGATCGCGTCTAGCCAAAATATCCCGAACTGGAACATTAGGTTGTCTACCTCGAGCCCGAAGAGAATCGTACATCGGATCTGACTCCACGGTGCTCAGCACATGACCAAATAATGTAATCTGCGTCCTGGTAACCTTGTCCACATTCACAGAGATTACTGTCCCCCAGCTCAACACGGAACAAGTGAGCGTTTAACGAGTAGTGATTGGACATGAGGCGAGACATCATACGAATGAAGTCTCGACCCACATCCAACCCCTTGAACCAAGGACACTTCGACACCTTAGGGATGATTGAATATAACCATCGTCCCAAACTCCCTTCACTCCATTTATTTTGCCAGCTGGCGAGGGACTGTTGACGATAAATGAAGAAAAATTCGTCGTAGGCGATTTGTCGATCGTAAATATCGCCTTCCATAGCGCCCACCTTTGCAAGCGAGTCCGCCTTCTCATTGCCCGGAATCGAGCAATGAGATGGGACCCAAAAGATCTTAAAGATAAAGCGCTTAGAAGCTCTCGTATTTTCATGAGAAAATACGAGGAGTGCTTTACCGGCCTCATGGAGCGAATAGCCTCGACAGAACTGAGACTATCCGTAAAAATAAAATAATGATCTGGTGCAAGTGAGGCGATCGTTTCTAGCGTATAATGTATTGCCGCCAGTTCCGCAACATATACGGAACAAGGAGCATGAAGCATTCGAGAGGCGCTATGAAATTCGTTATAAATACCAAAACCAGCGGACGCCTCTATTAGTGATCCATCTGTGAAGAACGATCTTGCGGAATCAACTTGGCCAAACTTTGCAGCGAAAATTGACGGAGCAATCATGGAACGATGATGCTCTGGGATTTCGCGAATCTCTTGCGTCATTGATAAATCAAAATTCACTGAATTGTCGAAGTCGGAGAAGCAAACACGATAGGGATTATGCTGCGAAGGGCTGACATCCTGTGTTATGTACACGTAGTACAATGACATAAAACGAGTTTGAGGGTTTAGCTCAAGAAGCTTCTCAAAGTTTGCAATCACCAGTGGGTTCATAACTTCGCAACGGGTGAGGAGCCTGAGGGATAATTCCGAAAACCGATCCGATAGTGGCAACATGCCCGCCAACACTTCTAGACTCATCGTATGAGTCGAGTGCATGCATCCTAACGCGATACGAAGACAACGATACTGGATACGTTCCAGTTTGATGATGTGCGTTTTAGCCGCCGACTGGAAGCAAAAACTACCGTACTCTAAAACCGATAAAATCGTTGTCCGGTACAACGTTAGAAGATCTTGCGGATGGGCTCCCCACCACGTTCCGGTAATTGTTCGGAGAAAATTGATCCTTTGTTGGCATTTCCGCTTCAGATACTCAATGTGGGATCTCCAGGTGCATTTTGAATCGAACCAGACCCCAAGATATTTGAAAGACATAGAATGAGTGATCGGTTTACCCAAAAGTTGAAGCTTTGGTTGTGCTGGGCTATGCTTCCTAGAAAAAACGACCAACTCAGTTTTCTCCGTAGAGAATTCGATACCTAGCTGGATAGCCCAAGTAGACAAATTGTCTAAGGTATCCTGTAAGGGTCCTTGCAGGTCGGCCTCTCTGGGTCCTGTCATAGACACTACTCCGTCATCTGCAAGTTGTCTCAACGTGCAGTTGTCCCTTAGACAATTGTCAATTTCTCTGACGTAGAAATTATACAGAAGGGGGCTTAAACATGAGCCCTGGGGGAGACCCATGTAGCTAAATCGTGAAGCTGTAGAGTTTCCATGAGAAAAGCTCATATGTTTCTCTGACAGCAAATTGTACAAAAAGTTATTAATTAATGGAGAAAGGCCACAAGCGTGGAGTTTCTCTGAAAGAACTTCAACCGATACTGAATCAAAAGCCCCCTTATCCTAATCCAAGAAGACAGAAGCCATTTGCTCTTTATTAGCAAAAGCCAACTGAATTTCAGTGGAAAGCAACGCGAGACAGTCGTTCGTTCCCTTTCCCCTACGGAAACCAAATTGAGTATCTGAGAGTAGGTGGTTCAACTCAACCCATTTGTCCAGGCGAAAAAGGATCATTTTCTCCAACAATTTTCGAACACACGATAACATCGCAATGGGACGATACGAGTTGTGATCTGACGCGGGTTTTCCAGGCTTTTTAATGGCTATAACTCTCACCCGCCTCCAATCATCCGGAACAATATTAAGCTCCAGGAACTGACCAAACAAGTTCAACATGCGCCTCTTAGCGACGTCTGGGAGGTTCTTCAACAAGTTGAACTTGATTCTATCAGCCCCCGGAGCCGAATCGCCACACGAAAGGAGCGCGAGTGAGAGCTCCAGCATTGAAAAAGGCTGGCTGGTCTACCGAATTCGTCGTTTCGCGAGGAATCATCTATGCCGGCACAGAATCAGGACATACTTTTCGCGCGAACTTGAGAATCCAACTTGAAGACCGGTTACGCATCCTTCGCGCCGCATTCCAAAGCGTATTCATCGACGTTTCGCGCGATAATCCGTCCACGAATTGCCGCCAGTATCCGCGTTTCTTGGCTTTGATGAGGCTCTTGAGTTCGCGTTCAAGAGCCGAGTACGCTTCGAAATGTACGGGTGTTCCACGTTTCCGGAAAAGCTTAAACGCGTCGGACTTTTTACGATAAACCTCAGTGCATTGCTGGTCCCACCAAGGGGAAGGAGGTTTCCTACGGAAAGACGTTCCTGGAACCGGCCGAGTTTGAGCTTGAAGCGCGCTGTCCAAGATCAGATTGGAGAGGAAGTTATATTCCTCCAACGGTGGAAGCCCTTCTACCGACGTTAGGGCATCTTCTATCACATTCTTGAACTTTGTCCAATCGATATTACGGGTAAGATCGTACGCGACGTTAACGGGTTCCGACGGATTGAACCCACTGGTAACTGAAACTTTGATCGGCAAGTGATCACTACCGTGGGGATCTTGGATCACATTCCACGTGCAATCCAACGATAATGAGTTAGAGCAAAGTGTGAGGTCTAATCTACTTCCATTCGAGGATGGGCCAGCCAAACGTGTTACTTCTCCATTGTTAAGAATTGTCATAATAAAGCTGTCGCAGAGGTCATATATCAAAGTAGAACGGTTGTCATCATACAGTTCCCCCCAGCCTGTACCGTGGGAATTCAAATCTCCCATAATCAACCGTGGAGCAGGAAGTACCGAACAGATATCTGAAAGTTGTTTGCGATTAACAACGGCTCTAGGAGGAATATAAACAGAAGCAATACAAAGGCTCTTACCTTTAATAATAGCCTGACATGCAACAACTTCAATACCTGGAAATTGTGGAAGATTCACTCTATAGAAGGAATGGCACTTTTTGATCCCCAAAAGTACCCCTCCTCCACGCGAATCCTCACGATCCAGTCGAATAATGTTAAAATCATAAAAAGGAAGATCGATATCTGAAGAGAGCCAAGTTTCACAAACAGCAAATGCATCACAATCATTATTGTGAATTAAAAACTTAAAAGAATCTAATTTAGGCATGAGACTTCGACAATTCCACTGTAGAACAGTGATCAAATCCCCGACCTCGTTTGGAAAATTATCCATCGAAGGAAATGATTGCTGCAATGAGGGGCAACTTCAATGTCAATTGCTTCAAGAGGGTCTTCACAGAAGGAAGCATTGCCAGAACAATGCTTTTGAGAGGATCAGAAATATTGAGGTACTTGAGAATATCGTCCACAATTTTATCAAATGAGAACAACCCGGATGAAGAAGGGGCTTCTGTTCTTAAAAATGGGCCATCAGGGGTTTTTGATGTCCCCGGGAGAGATGGAAAATTCTGGTTATAATCAGTTCTGCGGAAACCAGGAGGAGTTGAAACTTCCTTTTTTCCATCACTCCTTGATTTGGGCAAGCTGATTTGGGGTTCCTTATCTGCAACTTTCCGCGAACGGATGCGTTTTCGTTTCCGTGCAGAACCTTCCGGAAAACTGAAAGAAACTCCCTCCTCAGCCAAGTCAGAGTCAGACTCGTCATCAGACAAAACAGCAAAGGGGTTTTTGTCGTTGGTTGATGGTGTGGCTGTTTTTAGCATTGCTGCAAAAGACTGCCTGGAACGCTCCTTAAGAGAGCGTTCTAG